CCGTCCCGGGCCAGCCTCAACCTGGACCTGTACGAGCACCACTGGGCGGGCGAGGGGGCGGCCCGGCAGCCGCCGCCCCCGGGCCCCTACAGGGGGGAGGTGCACGCCCCCAGCCGCACCAACTCCTTCAACAGCCCGCAGAAGGTCAGCGTAGCCGTCCGGCCAGAGCCCCCCCTGGGGCCCCCCAGCACCATCACCGCCGTCACCTCCGCGCCCGTCCAGCAGCCCGTGAAGAGCATCCCGGTCATGTGGCCGGAGCCGCGCACCGCGGTGGGGCCCTGTCACCCCGGCTGGCTGGCCGCGCAGGCGCCGGAGGCCGCCGAGGCTTGCCCCTATGCCGCGGGCGAGGCCTACGCCCCTGGGCCGCGGTGCCCCCCTCCGCCGTACCCCAAGACCCTGCTGCTGCACGGCGCCCCCGAGCCGCCGGAAGGGAAGGGCCCGAGCGGTCAGGCGGAGGAGGGCAGCAGCGGGGCGCTCGCCGGCGACAAGGCCAAGACGGGCCGGGCCGAGAAGAGCGTCAAGGACAAGAAGCAGATCCAGACGTCGCCGGTGCCGGTGCGCAAGAACGCCAGAGACGAGGAGAAGAGGGAGTCCCGGATAAAGAGCTACTCCCCCTTCGCCTTCAAGTTCTACATGGAGCAACACGTGGAGAACGTCATGAAGACCTACCAGCAGAAGCTGAACAGGAGGATGCAGCTGGAGCAAGAGATGGCCAAGGTAACGCTCGGGGGCCTGAGGCCCTGTCAGGGGCACTTCTGTTTCGTCGGTTATTTCTGAAATCGTTAGTGAGAAATCCGGAAAAGAAGTGTGTTTTTTTTTGTTTTTGTATCTAAACGGTACATTGCGGAATGTCAGGCCGCCGAGATCTTTTGACCTTCCATTGAGCTGCTTGTTTCCTTGTGTGCCAGGCCGGCCTGTCGGAGGCCGAGCAAGAGCAGATGAGGAAGATGCTCTACCAGAAGGAGTCCAACTACAACCGCCTGAAGCGCGCCAAGATGGACAAGTCGATGTTCGTCAAGATCAAGACCCTGGGCATCGGCGCCTTCGGCGAGGTCTGCCTGACGCGCAAGGTGGACACCAACGCGCTGTACGCCATGAAGACGCTGCGCAAGAAGGACGTGCTGAACAGGAACCAGGTGGCTCACGTCAAGGCGGAGAGGGACATCCTGGCCGAGGCGGACAACGAGTGGGTGGTGCGGCTCTACTACTCCTTCCAGGACCGAGACAACCTCTACTTCGTCATGGACTACATCCCGGGCGGGGACATGATGAGCCTGCTGATCCGCCTGGGCGTCTTCCCGGAGCCGCTGGCCCGCTTCTACATCGCCGAGCTGACGCTGGCCATCGAGAGCGTGCACAAGATGGGCTTCATCCACCGCGACATCAAGCCCGACAACATCCTCATCGACCTGGACGGCCACATCAAGCTCACCGACTTCGGCCTCTGCACGGGCTTCCGCTGGACGCACAACTCCAAGTACTACCAGAAAGGTGAGGCGGCGCTGAAATCAGGGTTACGGAGCAGATCGGGACAGGAGCAGGGGCCTTTCTCACCACGAGCCAGGCGAACATTCACAGCAATGTCAAGCAAACCGGGGGCAGGGCGTGAGCTGTGGCCGAGTAGTGGGAATATTAAAAATATATATATATAAATTTCACAGCTCGTAGGAACCTCCCCTGTGTTTCTCCCCACTAAACTTCAGTCTAACATCTACAGTAGAACAATGCAATTTTCTGATATTTAAAAGCTTTTTACAGAGGATTATACTTATAAGAAGTATGGGATGGATACATTACCATGATCATGGTAAGGTCCAGCGTGTTCTTTCTTTCCTCTGTGCCTTTTAAGGTCAATGAGCCTGAATATCCACATTAATGGCAACAGCTCCTTCCAGTAATGGTGCATGTCGTGTGTGTATTTACACACGGCTGCTGTGTGCATGCTGTATGTATGTTTATACGCAGCGAGATGCAGTAGATGCACACATACGTGTATACTGTAGGTATAACACGCAGGCTTCCCGTCTCACGAGTCTCTGTGGTTTCGTGTCCCAGGGAGCCACATCAGGCAGGACAGCATGGAGCCCAGTGACCTGTGGGACGAGCTGTCCGGCTGCCGCTGCGGAGACCGGCTGCTGACCCTGGAGCAGCGGGCGGCCCGGCAGCACCAGCGCTGCCTGGCCCACTCCCTGGTGGGCACCCCCAACTACATCGCCCCGGAGGTGCTGCTGCGCAAGGGTGAGCGCCTCGGGGCTCACGGGCGAGGGGGCGGGGCCATTCCTCGCGCCCGTCTCGTCTCGTCGGCCGCCGCGGCCCAGTCCAGAGCGAGCCGCGCGCTGGCGGCCCGGCGGGCCGCGGGGTTCCTGTTCCACCGACTCTTTGCTGGCTGCCGGCTGCAGAGTAGCCAGAGCTAAAAAAAAAGAATCCGCTTTTCCAGGGGCCGAGCCAGGCTGGAATCATGGAATTAATCCTAGCCTGAGGTCCGGGCTCAGGCGAGAGCTGGTCTGGGGTCAGGGGTCAGCGGCTGGAGCTCCTGGGAAGGCAGGCAGGCGCAGAGCTGATCAGAGCTGATGCCTGACTGCCAGCCCGGCTCCATTAAGGGTGGAGCCAGGAGGCAGCCTGGCACTCTGTTCATCTGGTCTTTTTCAGTTGATTCTGGGCTTTTACAGTATTTTATATGAGTGATGGGGAAAAAGTGCAGACTTTTGGGGATCCCCTTACTTGAATGAGGCTAAAACCCACCATGCATGAAAACCACAGAGATATAGAAGCATGACCATCCCGTATACACATTTTTCACCTCCTGCTCAAGCCCACAGGGGCCACAGCGCGGAAACTGACCCGGACCACTGTTGCAGACCAGCAGCTACATAAAGTTCTCATCAGACTCTGTGGTTCTTAATGCCAGCACTTTCGTCTGACCTCTCTCTGCCTGGATCTCGGTTCTTAGCTTCGGCTGAAGCTCATTAGAAACCGTTACAAATCCTGTGCCTGTAATGGTCACTTGCACCAGTTGAAAAGGTGTTTTCGGGCTGTTTTAGACTGTTATGGACAGTTTATTGTTTTTTTTACCCTTGATCAAGTGAGTTTTACAGTTCTTTTGTGTCTGCCCAAATGATATTACAAACCTCTGAGTTACGGTTAGAAGTTAATAATATACATTATTGGCCAAAAATGAATGTCCAAAGTTTAGATTACAGTAGTTACAATTACAGACAAGAGTTTACTGTCTGTTGCAATAAAATGCCTGTTGTCTTGAATAGTTATTATGTCCTGGTTGAAAGTGCAAGTTTGCATTTTTCTTTGCTTTTCTGCATTGTTTACCTTCTGACCGGCCTGCGTGTGTTTCGTTAAAGCCCCTTCATTGTTTCCTCTGGGAGGTAAAGAACTGTTCAACAGGCCGCTGTTGAAAACCTGACTACATGAATGTCCCGCATGCAGCTTGTACCTCACTTTGGGGAGTCACTCGGTCTCATAGGCGAGCAACACATGGACATTCCAGGCAGAATTACCCTGCTGGCCCCCTTTGCTCCTAAATGTGCTCCTGGGGCATCTTCTTGTCTAAAGAATTCCCTGGGAATGAACCCGAGCCGTTTGCGGTCTGTCTGCAGGTTACACACAGCTGTGCGACTGGTGGAGTGTGGGTGTCATCCTGTTTGAAATGCTGGTGGGCCAGCCTCCGTTCCTGGCCCCTACTCCGACAGAGACCCAGATGAAGGTAAGCAAAGGGCACATCTGATCGGACGTGCAAATGTGTATAAGACGTTTCAGGGGTACAGTTTACGTTTTAAAACAAGGAACTGATGAATTGCAAAATGTGTATTGCAACAGGGACTTGAGTTTCCCACCACTTCCCAGCCAGGAGCCATATCCCCCTGCAGCTCCCCGCTGGCGGCCCACTGGAGCTCGGCAGTGTGAGCCTGGCCAGTACCTGGAGGGGAGACTCCTGGGAAAAACTAAAGTTGAGTTGAGATGGGGGCCGGGCCAGGCTGCACCTGCAGGGGGCGCTCAGCAAGGCCTGGTCCACGCCGGCAGCGTAGGGCTTCTGCTGAGAGCTATTAGTGGGGCCAGTAGGGGGCGCTCACCCTGCAGTCTGTGTGGTTCATAATGCCCCAGTATAGTGATGGGGACACTGTACTGTAAAAAGGCGCCGTTCTTTGGATGAGACATTAAACTGAGCTCCTGACTCTCTGTGGTCATTAAAAATCCCAGGGCTTTTCTCGAAAAGAGTAGGGGTGTTACCCTGGTGTCCTGGCCTTTACCAGTCATGGCCTCCTAATAATCCCCATGTCTGAACTGGCCTCATCACTCTGCTCTCCTCCCCACTGAGAGCTGGTGTGGGGGGGAGCAGACTGGCGCGTCGTCCAGGTGGGGCTGCACACTGGTGGGGGTGGAGGGGATCCCCGTGACCTGTAAAGTGCTTTGAGTGGAGTGTCCAGAAAAGTGCTATAAAGTGCCACCACCACTGCCTGGTCCTTAACAGGAAACTCCCACTGCATGCATGTCCTGAATGTTGATTCACAGCACAGAGAGCCCAGGGTCTGAATCCCGTGTCTGTTTTGCGGAGGGGAAGGCCTTCCCCAGGCGTGGAGGGCTCGTGTGACCCCCGGGCTGTGTCTTGTGCGCGCAGGTGATCAACTGGACCAGCACGCTGCAGATCCCGCCGCAGGCGAAGCTGAGCCCCGAGGCGGCGGACATCATCGGCCGGCTGTGCTGCGCGGCGGAGGAGCGGCTGGGGGGGAACGGGGCGAGCGAGATCAAGGCCCACCCCTTCCTCGAGCAGATGGACTTCTCCAGCAGCCTGCGCACCCAGCCCGCGCCCTACCTGCCCAGGGTCCGCCACCCCATGGACACCTCCAACTTTTTCGACCCCGTGGAGGAGGGCGGCGCCGGCGCCCGGGGCGACAGCGCGGGCAGCGCCAGGGCCGGGGACGCGCCGGGGTCCCCCCACAGCAAGCACCCCGAGCACGCCTTCTACGAGTTCACCTTCCGCCGCTTCTTCGACGACAACGGCTGCCCCTTCCGCTACCCCAAGCCCGCGGACGGTCTCCCCGGCGGCGCGGGCGCGGAGGAGCAGGCGGAGGGCTGCGAGCCCGTCTACGTGTGAGGGCGGCTGAGCGGCGGGACGCAGCGGGACGCCGGCGGTCGGCATGACGCCTTCGCGGGGCTCGGAGGAACGGCTCCTCCGATGGCCTCGCTCTCTCCAGAACAGCCCCCTGAGGCCCGGCTGGGCGACCCGACTCCACGACTGGCGGAAGCACCTGGCTCCTCCGGGCGAAACGTTCGCGATGGGCGAATTCAGGCCTGGTCTTCGTCCGCCTTTGTGGCCGGTGAAATCTTACGTGTTTTTTTTTTGGGTTCATTTCCAGTTTTACAACCTCATCATACAAAGATGGTCACGACGTGCACTTTTTTAAAAAGGTTTTAGAAAGCAGAGAGTTTAGCCGGTGAACCGTGACGCACTATGAAGCGTCTGGCAGTACGAACGGAGCTGCACAACATGATGGTCAATGATGTAAAACGATCGTCCATGGTTTGAGTATCGGGCTGCTGGACAATAACTACATTTAATCTTTTAGTCTCAATGAACTTAGATGTAAGCCATTCTGATTTCAAAAGTCAGGGGTGAAAGCAGACGGGGATTCAGAGCACAGAGTGAATGAGCTGCTGTATCAGGCCTGCTGGTCCAGGGGCCATCAAGACTGCTTTCAAGGCACTAAAGCAAAAACAAAACAGTAGTCTCTCCATCGCACAGCGGTATCGACAATCTCATACTTAACGGCTCGCTGTGAAACAAGTGGAAAAACTGCTTCTACTGTGTGAGAAAACGTTCCGCAGGTTCACTGGACAGTGTTGGGTCTGTGTTTTCCTTTTGTTTTCAGTTACCTGGGACGTGAGATTCAGCTGCTTTAAATTTTCTGCCATGCTGAAGGTTACCATCAAAATATTTGTTTCCCGATGTTGAAAGGATCCCCTGTGGTCTTTTTGTCATCCTATGTCCACGTGTAGGAACACTTTGGAAGCAAATTCAATTCTAGAGCAGCCACTGCCGCCTTGAGACTTGTTTTAGCAGCTGCCTGTTTGCCTGTGCATTCAGATCCTGGTGTCTGTCTTATCTGAGCAATCGGTGAGCCGTTCGCAACACCAGGGCTCGGAGCTGAACTGTTACGGGGCATAGTTCTGGCGCCTTCAGGTGTGTAGAGTGCGTTGGAGATTTTTATTTTTTATAAAAGTAAAAATAAGCTAACCTACATTCATTGAAAACATTTAGGGGTTCGGACAGAAACGCAGTTACAAATATCAGCACAGTGATTTACATAAAACTAAACATCTGTGGTGGTGTCCGTGTTCAATTCCAATCTTCACGTTTGTCATAGGAAAGCTTTTATGTTTTGTGTTTAGATACTCAGAAAATCTGTGCCGCCTCAGGAAAAAAAAAATAGTTGAAACTGGGGGGAAAAAAGACTTATGATCACATCTTTGTAATGCTACCTTGTTGACAACATAGTTTCTACTGTAAATCATAAGAGCCACCGCAGACACTAGACATTATAACGTGTACTGCTTGCTCTCTGTTGAATTATTACAGTGAAGAAGTCCAAAACAAAACTGAAACGAAGCTTTATTGTAAATCACTGACCCATATTTCAAACTGCCTGGTATTGAACAAATGGGAATGTTAGATTAGACAGTTGCACAAGCGCTTGCATCTTTCTCATTACGAGTTCTCGTCTCTTAACAGTGGCCACTGTTCCTCTTATTCTGATTTCCAATACCGGTTTCAAACTGCCGGCACTTAGGTTCTACAGACGTGCCTACATGTGAATTGTCAGTGATCCCAGCCACTGTCGTCTTAATTTCCCTCCCTAAGCACCTTAAAGATTCTTCTACCAGTTCATTCCTCATTATTTCTATTAATGGACTTTTTTTTTTTAGACTGCGCAAAAAGAAATCATTTTAGCATGCATTCGTGCCTCTGCACCAGGAAAGGGAAAATCTATACATTTTCATGAAAGGAACAAAATATACTATCACAAAGTTGAGCACAAACTCCCGCATTCTGTCACGGGCTGTAAAATGATTAGGATAGCTCAAATACAATCAGAACAAGCTCGCGTGTAGGATACGTGTGGAAGTGATGGTCCTGTTGCCTTGGTAGCTGTGGACAAGAGCAGAACTCCAGAGGATGTAGACTGGGAAGGGTGGTAGTAGCAACCCACAGCTAAGAATGGGGAGATTTCTGGGGTGCTCGCTGACATCTGTATGAGATTGCTCTCGGGGAAGTTCTTGGAGAATGCAAAAAAAACCTCGAATTAAAGGCTTATCGGATGAAGAGCATGCGATATGACAATGTGCAATACAGAAAATAGTTTTCTACCCATGACAGATATTTAAAAAAACACCTAGTTTGGAAGTCTAGTCTATAGTTAGTGTCTTTTGAAGATAGTACAACGACCTAATGCTGCTTTTTCTTCGTCTGTGGTTTGTTCTGAGGCCAGAGAGGGTCTGACTGAAGAGTGGGAGGTGAGGTGTGCTGGGGGTGGGGGTTGCTGCATGCGCGATGTTTGTGTGCCAAAAGGAAGATATTCTGCTCGCTCGCAGGCTGGCCCTGTGCTGGATGGAAGGAGGTCGGAGAACGCCGACAACAAAAAAGCTCGACGGAGCCCTCCTGGGTCGCGAGAGCAGGAATGGCTCTCAAAACCAAGGCAGCGATTTCGAATGTTTGTGTTGCGTTTGATGCGGAAAATGGATGAGTCTTGAAAATGGTATTGGATCTTGAAGGATTAAGCATCAAATGCCAAGTCAAATGTCTTTAAATACCCGCTCTGCGGTGCCGGGTGATTGATATTTTGTCCTTCCTGTACCTTCTTGCAGTCGCTTGGTGTGCAAGTCCTCGTTGTTGAGCTGAGGTCTCACTTTAGTGAGACTTCCTCAGTGTTGTGTATTTTGTCACGTTTGACAAAGAGTTCCTGCAGGATATACTGTACACTCGGCAGCGCCATGCCTTTGAAACAAAAGGCTGTTTCCATTTGAAAGATCACATTGGCAGCTGACTGTACTAGAAGTCTGAATAGATCATCGGATGTGATGTGTGGTATCTTTGCAGTCCATCTGGCTGGAAAACAAAACTGAAATCTTAACAAAAAGGCTAGGAGCTACAAACTGAACGCCCATGTGTGATGTCCCACATCGGGGGCAGCTGCGGCCAGAACAGATCCAGTCAGTTGGGGAAAAAAAAACCCAAAAGGCTGAGCTGGGGCGATTGCTCCGCGTGGGCACATGAAAACGTGAGGGGAGACTAACGGGTGTGTTAAGGGGGAGAAATCGGATTACCGATGAAAGGTGCTGGCGCCAGCAGGGAGACGTGGGCGCTCGCTGGGGGAGTGAGGGAGTCTTCCTCACTGGGCTGGCTTCGGCCCCCTTCACCTCGGCGTCTCTCTCCGTGCACAGGCATCTCGCACGGGTGCCAGTTCGCGGAGCATTAGACCAGCGTCCTCCACACAGCCAAACATGCTTGAAGAAGTGAGTTTGTGATTCTGACATAAATTATGCTGAGCGTGTCTGATTCTGAGAGGTGTCTTGGTTTTTTAAGTGCTGACTGACAATCTTTTGACTAAATGCTTTTTCTAGATATTAGACAACCTTTCTACTTGTGTCCTATTTTTATGGGAGGGTATGACTTTTGTTACATTATTCCTCCATGTATAACACTATAGTGTTACTTGTCAAGATATATTTATACACAGATATACATATTTTTGAATAATGTTTATTCTGCTCTCATTTACTGTTTGAATTTCTATTAACATGTATGTACCACCACCAGTATAAACACAGATAAACGGCAAAAACATGTATCTTTTTTACATTTATATACGAAATAAGTATTGTACAAATATGCTTTGTCATTTCATCTGTAAAAATATAGCAATGAAACCTACAGTATTATCATTTTTTTTCATTGTTTTGTAACGTGTTAAGTGGTATATATTTCTCAGGAACTTAATCCTAACACTGTTATTTATTATTGTAATTATCTTTGCATTTGAAAGCTTGTCTTGGCTTAGTGTATCAGTACAGTAAACATGCTACATAAACTCTGAAGTGTCTCGTGTACACCATCTTATTGGATTTACTTTATCATCATTCAGTTCAGCTTTTTTGCCAAAATGTGCAGTGGAAAAGACTATATACCAACACACAATCCCTTAGTCCCAGTGTACAGAACACTTTGCACATTCCATTAGCTAGAATTAAATTCTAGAATTCCAGGATATAGTCTGCTTCATCGTAGACAGAGCTGAGGGAACAAAGTGGAACATGGTTAGAACGGACAGTGAAGTTGACCAATGATGTTTCATGCTGTCTATGCTGAAAAGATATGAGCCTTTGCTAGTTCTGTGCAAAACCTGAAGTTTCATAGATCTGTCGCTCAAAGCAATAATCAAATTAAACCTTCTAAATACACAGTCCATACTCTCTGGACTCTGAATTAAACACTGATTGAGAATCTGCAGCACAAAGAGGCATGGAAAATCTATCCAGCTGAAGATTTCATAAAGCAGAGTCAAAATCTACATGCACAATATTGGCCGCAACACCCACCCTTCATAATAAGAGGTCCTTTCATAGGCTTATAATACATTTATAGTTTCAATAAACCAACAGAACTAACATAGACAGGTTCCACAAAAATGCCAAGTACAGATAGTTATCACACATTCACAAAGTTAACTTCTACAAACAATGGTTATATTTTTAACTTAAGCCACTACTATTGTATGTAAACCATAGCTGGTTATTAGTGTCCAAGCCAATAATTTTCTTTGAGCAAACTGTTTACTTTTAAGATGTGGAAAATATACGATTTTGAGTTCCACAGGAACCTGAAAGACAAAAGTAGCAGAAATGTTTCATACTCGTATGGAGACACATCTGGAGGTTGGTAAACCACACATAACAATTGTAAAATGTAAGAAATTGTAAATGTAAGAATTTATTTCATAAATGTCAGTGGTATTCCTATGATAACAGCCAAAGTCCTGCAGAACACTTTTACAGAATCTGGAGCATGAATTCATAAGCAAAGAGGACAAGGCAACAATGACACCTTTGAGTATTTCTCAAGAGAATTTACCCCAGTCTGTTTGCACTCCGAGTGCCCTGACCTTGGTGGAATAGGCGGTGCACAGACATACACAGTCATGAAGCTCGAACCCGCGATCTTGCAGCTCAAGCTGTTGCTTTGGATAGGAGATGTAGGGGATGCGTGGCGTGTCTCCATCCCGCAAACCTGGATCAAACCGCGGCGTCCCGGGGGCTCCCGGAGCTCCCTGCGTTGGCCTGAAACTCCGGAAAACACGCAGGTCTCTTGCGGTGCTTTCGTTTGTGTGGTCCGGCACAGACTCTTATTTACTGTCCATGCTTCTTTAATCGAAGTGCAGAGCTGTCGCCGGAGACTACCACATGCCTCAGTGGATATAAAAGCGCACGCTGCGGATTATACGCAACTGGTTTTATTCTTGCACCTGTAGAGTAAAAAGTCCAACAATATATATGCGTACAGTATCTGTTTTACTATAATTGTCTGTAAATGATCTGTTAATTGTTTCAGTTTAGGCAGCGCAGTAATTTAAGGTTCTTTCTAGTAAAGCTCAAGTCTCCAGCACTCAAACTGTGCAGACACTGAGGCTGTTACTAACTCAATTCAATTCAAGGTGCTTTATTGGCGTGACCGATGAGTACAATCAGTGTTCCACTAAGAAAGAAAACCAATACAATTAACATGAAACAAAAAACCTATACAGACATTTACAATAAAGACACATCATAAAAGACTTAACGAATACGCCCCATGTGCGTAACAGGGATGAAGAAGGCTGAAGAAGGTCTTGTTTAGCTCAGCCGGCGCGACCCGGAGACCCGGGTCCGAGCCCAGGCGGTGAGGGGCGTGCTGAGGTGGGAGCGGAGAACGCGTTACAGTATTTACATATATTGTTACTATCTCTGAACTGGACGTCTACAACTCCGAGACCCCCCGTAAGAACCCTGTCTCTAATGAGACCCCCTCGCCACTGAACCGTGATGACGGCAGCTACACTGGGCGCAGGAACAAGTCATAGGTTTATTCCATGCTGAAAAAAAGAAGAAAGAGAACACAACGTTTCGGCCACACCCGAAGAAGGCTCCACGGCCGAAACGTTGTGTTCTCTTTCTTCTTTTTTTTCCAGCATGGAATAAACCTGTTACTTGTTCCTTTGCAGCCTACGCATGCTGACGCAGCTGCCCACCTGAACTACACTGGGCACAGTCCGCGGAAGACCTAGAACAAGTAGTTCAGGTGGGTAGCTGCGCCAGCATGCGTAGGCAGCAAGGTAAGGTAAACCAGGGTTCTTCTGACCATGCCGCTATTTGTAACTGGTCATAAAAGGAGAGTGAGCGGGCGCTTCATTTCTCTTCGCTTTTCCGGGCTCTCTGCAGGCGCGCCCCCGAGGCGAGGCGACTTCTCGGAACTGGGAGCTCCCGAGCCCCGGCGGCGCGCACGGGCCGGCCCGGAGCGCGCACGGGGCTGCGCTCACGAACCCATTGGCCCAGCGCGCCGCCTCATCCCACAATGCAGCGCATGGCGCGTCATTGAAGAGAGACCATGATGGCGGCGGCTGGTGCCTCAGAAGTGATTTCACAGCTGGAGAGCGCTGCGAAAGTTTTAATGGTGAGAGGGGAGAGAGGGGGGTGCCTCCGCTCGCGTTTCCCGGTGCTGCGTGGGCTTCGGTTACCTTGGAGGGGCCGAGCGCCGAGAAAAAGCGACGCCCCGGCTGCCCTGTGCGGCGGCTTGTTTGGATAGGAGATGCAGGGGATGCGTGGCGTGTCTCCATCCCGCAAACCTGGATCAAA